AGAGAGAGAGAGAGAGAGAGAGAGAGAGAGATTTTACGAGAAGATAATTTGCGGCATTCGGATTTTGCGACGTTTGGATTTTGCGACCTTTGGATTTGATGAGAAGAAGAGAGGAGGAAGATATGGGTTCTGCTGGTAGGTTCCTCTTCCCCCTTCTTCAACTCCAGTCGTCCGTCTTCTTCTTCTTCGTCGTCGTCTTCGGCTTCTCCTTCCTCTACTTCTTCTTCTTCGTCTTCTTCTTCCTCTTCATCTTTTTCTTTTTGGTCTTCTTCTTCGTCTTCTTCTTCTTCTTCTTCTTCATCATCTTCGTCTTCTTCTTCCTTTACTTCTTCTTGGTCGTGAGGGATTGTTGGGCGCCACGCGCCATAGCTGTCTTGAGCGATCTGAATCAGGAGGGAGAAAAACGCATCCCCCCCAACCGTATCTCCCCGCGGAAGGCAACCATACCAACAATCATCCCGGATCAATGTCGAAATGCAAACTTTATTGATTGATTGATTGATTGATTGATTCCGATGCTTCCTCCCCCCCCCCCCCCCCCCCTTTTACTGATTGATTGATTGATTGAGAGAGAGAGAGAAAGAGAGAGGGAGAAAGAGAGAAAGAGCGAGAGAGTGAGAGAGTGAGAGAGAGGAAGAGAGTGTGTGAGAGAGAGAGAGAGAGCGTTGCCGACTCGATCGCGACTCGATCCTGACTAATCCAGACTCGATCCTGACTAAGTTCGGCACGTGGCAAGTGAGCCACAAAGTTCCGCTTCCGCTTGCCGAGAGAAACGCACCACCCTCCGGCCGTACCAAGTTCGGCACGTGGCAAGTGCGCCACAAAGTTCCGCTTCCGCTTCCCGAGAGAAACACCCCCCTTTTCGGCCGTACCAAGTTCGACACATGGCAAGTGCGCCACATGGCAAGTGGGCTCTCACCATAGACACGTGGCAAGTGCGCCACAAAGTTTCGCTTCCGCTTCCTTCTCTACCTCAGCCGCCTTAGCTTTGGCTACCCGCCATGTTGCAAGTTCGGTCCTCTGCCCCTGCCCTCCTTTTACTGATTAATTGATTGATTGATTGATTGATTGATTGATTGACTGATTGGGTAGGATTTCGTGAATTCCCGAAAAAATTTCTTTTGTATGAAGGACATTTTTAGTTAGCGCTAATTAACGATGATTTGCGATTGCGCTAATTAGCGTTAATGACTCATTAACCCTATTCAGCCCTAACCCGCATTTTAACCGTGATTAGGATTGATCGCAAAGTGTCGTTTTGTGGAATTACGTTCTTTTTGTTTTCGCTCACGCAGTTTGTTTTCAAAATATTATGTTTATTATTATGCAATATTTTGTTATGAAATCTGCTATAAATCGTCGTTTTGTGTTGCGAATTATTCCCAGTTTTCAAAAAAATTTCGCGTAATTATTTAGATAAATTTGCCATTTGGGACTCGAAATGGTGTGACCGCTCGGAACTAATCGAAATCCTTCTCGAACTTAGCATACACAACGTTTTTTTGAATCTGAACCACTGTTGTTTTTCGCAAATTCGAATTCTCGACGTGCCAAGTTCACGACGATTATTAGTTGTTTTCGGGGGGAGGGTCGACACTGGGCTTCTCTCCGTCTCGCTCTCAATCGATAAATCAATCAATCAATTACTCAATCAATCAAATTCCATTGATTGATCGATTGATTGATTAATGAGCGACGATTGATTGGTTAATCAATCAATGAACGAAGGAGGAAGAGATTAGTGAGTCGACACGTGGAGGATGGGAGGGGTGGAGGTGCCATGCGGAGTGGAAAACCATGTGATCATATGAATACTTGAGACAAAAAAAAAAAAAAAAAGATCGTCAAATCGCTGGAGAGGAGGGAGTAGTGACGTGCTGCGTGAAGGAGGGAGAAAGGGAGGAGCGAGAGATGAACGGAGGAGGAATGAGAAGGGAAAAAAGAACAAACACGAAAGGAAGAAGGAGGGAGAAAGGGTCGAAGACGAAGTGAGGAAGGAGGAGGGAGAAAGGAAGGAGGGAAGAGGGAGCAAGGAAGGGGGAAGGAAGGAAGTGGGAGGAAGGAAGGAGGAAGAAAGAAGGAAGGAGGAAGGAGGAAGGAAGGAGAGGAAAGTCTCGCCTCCTCCGCCCGCCTCTATCAATCAATCAATCAATTAATGAATCAATCAATCAATCGATCAATCAATCAATCAATCAATCAAGCAAGCAATCAATCAATCAATCAATCTATTCGTTGATAATGACGAATCAAGTCGTTGAAGATCCGTCTATATCGACGGATCTTGAACGAGTTGATCTGTCGACATGGACGGATGAATCCATTCGTCGATATCGACAGATCTTCAACGATTTGATCCATCGATATCGACGAATTGATTGATTGATTGATTGATTATTCGATCGATTGGTTGACCATCCACGTCGATCTTCTGCAGGTACGGGTACTGTGCGGATCAATCAATCAATCAATTAAGACATTATTGATTGATTGATTGATTGATCGATAGGCTGACTGATTGAGTAGGATTTCGTTAATTTCCAAAAAATTATCTTTTGTATGAAGGACATGTTTTTTTTAGCGCTAATTAGCGCTGATTTGCGGTTGCACTAATTACCATTAATCGCTCATTAATCCTATTCAGCCCTAACCCGCATTTTAACCGTGATCAGGGGTAACTGCGGTGAAGTGTCGTTTTCTGGAATTATGTTCTTTTCGTTTTTGCTCACGCAGTTTGTTTTCAAAATATTATGTTTTATTATTATGCAATATTTTGTTATGAAATCTGCTATAAATCATCCTTTTTGTGTTGCGAATTATTCCCAGTTTTCAAAACTTTTTCGCGGAATTATTTAGATAAATTTGTTA